AACAACAACAACAAAAGCAACAACAACAACAAAAGCAACAACAACAACAAAAGCAACAACAACATTCCGAGTCTTTTTCTTCTCAATATTTCCATATTTCTCAACCGGATTTACCACCTTGGTCTCAATTGGATCCTGAATTCTTACTTGCTCTTCCTGAACGCACAAGGAAACAAGTTTTGGAGACTTACAGTAAAACAAAAGCTCAAAAGACGACTACGACGACGACCAATAACCAGCATGTGGAACCACCACCTCCGCCGCCGCCGCCGCCGCCACCACCACCACCACCACCACCACCACAGCCTACTTTACTCAGCCCACATCGCCAACAGCATGAATTATCACCATCACGTACTGTACCTCCAAATACCCCACGCAATAGCCGACAGCGTAACTCAAGGAGGATCAAAAAGGGATATGCAAGTCCTAGTGGAAGGGAACGTACATTGACACAAATGTTAATGCCTGATACCAGCCCTTCACGTCGTCCATCCAGTCCTACTACAGCTGCTCGAATGGCAAGGAATGAAGAGGAAATGCCACCTTGGGATGTAAATATTTGGAACGAGTTACCACCCGGTAAGTTACTTGCCTACATTTTCACTCTTCCTCTTTGTCTTTTTTGACGTCATGTTGCCTCTTATTTAGATCTCAAGCAAGAAATCCTGTTTGATTATCGACGAGAAAAACGCATGCAAGAACGACAACTTCGAGATGAGCATTTTCGTAAGGTGCATGACAAGGTAATGTAACCATCACCTTCTGTGTGAGGGGAGCGAGCTCATTGTGATTGTGTATCTTTATGATAGTTGATGCAATCCGAAAGTGCCCCTGCTCTTGCTATTACCATTCCCAAAGAACCTGAATTGATGGGCAAGCATACGATGCATGATATTCGAGGATTATTGAAGCAATGGGTGGATGAATATCCCGAGCATCCTGAAAAGGAAGATGTGGAAACAGTGACACGCTATCTATGTGAACTCGTTCAAACCAGGTATCTCGACAAGGTGCAAATGATTGTCATGTATTTGGTGCATTTGACGGGTGGAAACGATGCTTGGAAACCATACATTGAAACCATGCAACAAAAAGTATCCAATAGTGTCCAAGATATCTACCATTGTCCAATAAAGTTCGATTGATTGAAAACAATGCACACACATTTATTCAAGACTCCCATCATCATCATTAAATGGAACGAGGTCCATCCTCAGACAATGTTTGTTGTTGTTGCACAACATGGATACCAGGTTGCAGGAATGGAAATGAAGTAGTGGTAGTGGCAGTGGTGGTACCATCCTGGGAAAGAAGGGTCTCATGTGAAGCGGTAGGGGATTGTTGTGGAGGAGGAGGAGGATCGGGATGATAGTGTTGTTGCTGTTGTGAAGATGTTGGAGCTTCAGTAGCAGCATCATTGGGAAAGGGTGAAAAATTAGCTGCTGCTGCAGCTGCTGCTGCCACCATATAATTTGGTTTGTTGAAATAAGAATCATCTGTGTTATCAGCACCGGTTGTTGTTGCTTCTTGCTGAGGGGACATCCATGGGTTATGGGCGTCCAGGATACCATGATAATGGTCGTCACCATTGCCGCCACCACCACCACCACCATGGAACATGATAGGTGAATGGGCTTGTTGTTGCTGTCTTTGGTAGTAATGATGGGCTGAAGGTGACCAATGAGAATACTGGTTTTCTCTTGAATGAAGTGAAGGTAAAGGTGGCAAAAGATCTCTCTCATAACGTGACAGCATCACTGAAGAAAAAGGCGATGGATGATGTTGTTCATGCGTATGCTGCTGCATCCCCATGCCATAGAAAGGATAGGCATCATCATGGGCAGTCATAGGAGAAAGGCTTGTGGTTGCAGCAGCACCAGCAGTTCCATGTGTCAATTCATGTTCTTTCATCATCGTGGTAAGCATGGCCTTGTTATTCTCTTCTTCCATCATTGCTCGTTCCGCTTGCTTTGCTGCTGCTGCTGCGGCTGCTTTTCTTTGGTTGTTCAATCCCTGTTGTCGTCGACCAGGTGATGATGATACTCCACCTCCACCTTTACGCTTTCTGTTGCTGTTGCCAGATCCTTGATGATGCATTCCAGAGGATAATCCAAGGGATGAGGTTTTTGTACCAGTAGCATTCCCTGTCGATGATGATGGACGACGACCATATGTACCCAAGGGTGGCGTGGGCACCAAACTAAGATGACGATGGGTAGATAAATCAAGCACACGTGGTAATGGCTCATCCGTTTTCTTGGTGGGTGGAAAAGCATCCATGGTACCTTGCGATTCAAGTAGCTTTTTAACAAAGCTTGAAAGTAATTGTTGCTGTACACATTCTTGGTCTTCTTCTTCATCATCATCATCCTTTTGTTGCTGCTGTTCATAACTTAGATCCGCACGCATCAACCGACAAAGATCCGTGTTCTTGCTATTACAATCCACGTCATTTGGCAGGATATCAAAATAAAGTCCAGGTGAAATCTCATATCGTGTGGCCTCGCCTTTTTGGAAGATGGCATTTAAATCATCAGTCGTCTTTTGGGGCAACGTGACCCAATTGCTATTTCCAATGTAGAGCCGATAAAGACGTGTGTTATTGCGTTCCTTCTTGTTCATGTTGACAACAATGGGATAGGATAAGAGAAAGAGAAAGAGAAAGATGAGAAGATGTGGTTTATGCGGCGGTAAAAACGCATTTTAACTATCGACATGTGCATGTAGTGCTACAACGCAATTATATTGAACTATAGACTGTGGCTTTTTGTATGCAGCCTAGAGGATCCATAAAAAAGTATGGCACAAATTGGTATAAAAAGGGCACGTTGACAACAAACGGGGTGTGTTGGCGTGACATAAAGGGTATGAAAAAAAAGGGTAATACTATTACTCAATGCGTTGATAACCCAAACGAATACGCCTATACAACTTGTAGCCAAAGAATCCACCCACACCAAGAATTGCAGCAGTAACCATCGACGAGACACCAACCAATACATTAGACCAGAACCATGGAAGGCCAAAGAACCCACGACGTATCGGGATAAGCACCGTATCAATAAGCACGACACCACCTTTCATGCCATGTGCATCCCACATCCTCCCTGTTGCTTTGATCTTTGCTGGTTCAGCTTCAGGTTGACCTTTCACGCGAATAGACCATTCACCATTATTGCTGTCTTGATCGAATATCAATGTATCGTCATCCGAAAGAATAGTAGCATGTTCGTCGTGATGAAAATGGTGCTTCTTTTGCCACAAGTCTTGCCATGGTGCTGGAAGCACATGGATTTTTGCCAATCGCTCCAAGCTGTATGGGTCATTGAATATCTCCTCGATATTGAGCTTATCAAAAGCACGATCCGATGGCGCCAAGATAACATAGTCGGTTTGATTCAATGCATCCAGCAAGCCTACTGCATCCAGCACCTTGAGCATGGTATTGGCTTGAGCACCCACCAAAAGATCACGACCATAAATAGAAATGTGTTCTGGAAGAAGCACCTTGTCGACTTTGTGCACTACACCATTGCTCACTAGCAAGTCGCTGCTACTGGTCACAGTTGCTGGTTGATCAGCGATATGGGAAGGTTGGGTGACAATGATTTGTAGATCGTCATCTGCCCCTGGACCAATATGAATCTTGTTGCCGGCAAGTGTAGGCATCTCATGAAGGTATTGCCGCATGTCATCCTGGTATAACAATCCTTCAACAGCGTGATAACGAAGCACCTCTTGTAACGTGGTTTTCCCCAATGGATGCATCAAATAACGTGCAATAAGGCCGAGTGATTCAAAAGCGTCATTTGATGGCACGAATAAAGAAACCCCCTTTGCATCAATGACATCCATGGCGACTTCAGATACATAAAGGCTGGCAACAAAGGCGGAAACGTCGAGATCGATGGCAATGCTTGAGATGATATCACCAGGAAGTGAAAGAGGTTCGGTGATTTGATAGATGACATGACCATTCACCGATACTATACAATACAATGTATATCAGCCCATCTTCCATTGTAAAACCTGTTGCTCGCTTTTTCTTTTTTACCTGGATCACCCACAACGTGAGATTGACCGAAACGGATCCACCTTGTCGATGTATCGGAGCCTGCGTGAATATGTACTGGCACCCTTTGTGGCACGTTGCCAAGTTGTTGCGACACGAATTCGGTTGCTAGCAATGCACCATCATCCAAATAATCGGGTGTCAAGTTTCCAGTAAGCACGTGATAGCTGAGCCAATCTTTGTGTTGCTGGTCATCCGAGATATCATCAATGGCGTCGTTGCCAGGGACGAGAAAAGTATACTTTTGTGTCGTCTCATTCAAAAAATGACCCAGGCCGTACTTGTCGAGCAATGCCACAAACTTGGTTGCCTTGAGACCATATAGGTATTTCCGCTGATCAAATGTCAAGCTGGGGGGAGTAAATGCATGCGCCAATCGATGTATTACGCCTAGCAACGGTAGCAATGAGCACCGTCATGTCATAAAGTTATAATAAATCCATCACACATACCATTGGCTGCTAGGATATCGGCTTGTGAAAGAGTAACACCATTAACCTTGATGCTTCCATGATCGCTATCAGCTTGTACAGAGAGTGATTCTCCTGAAAGGGTGTCATCTGCAAAAAAAAGTATTACAACCAAGTCGTAGCCTATAAGCGAATCACCAAACTTACAAGATGCGTTCTTTTGAGAGATCTCAGCAGCATACATTGCATCCTCCATCACCATGTACTGAACAAAGGACGTGAGATCATCCACACCAAAGGGGCCAACCATGTATTCTCTCTCGATGGCATTGAAACAATCCAGGACATCTTGATGAGGCGTGAAGATAGTAAAGGGCCGTTCCTCTTTCAAGATGGATGCCACACCTGACTTTTCCAATAGACCATAGAATAGCTCATCCTTGCGAAAGATCTCATCTACAAACAATGAGGATTAACACACAATGGCTTCTTTTTGATCGTTGTTGTTGATGGCCTACCAAGAGTAGAAGGCGGAACAAGCACCTGATCGATTGTTTGGATATACGTCAGGCGATTGACATAGACATCTTTTTGAATGATAGAGGCCTCGTTGATGCAGATATCATCGTTGTCTGTTGTAATCTTGATACGCTGACCAGGATCAAGAGGACCAAGCATACGAGGCCGAACATATTTGGATTCGACAAGCTGACCATGGCTGAAGTTTTTGGTTGTCAACCCACTTGGAAGCAAATGATATAGCAGCTTTTCTCGTGTCATGTCCCCATTGAATTGAGCGAATGCATCGTTGTCTGGTGCAAACAAGGTACCCGACTCAAGTCGATTCAGTTCCGGAACAAGGCGCGCATGCTGCAAATGGCGAATCAGTGTTGAGAATCGTGCATCGCTTGAGAGAACGTCAATGAGGGTATTGTATGCCAACGTCGGCACTGATAAAAGAAGGAGCAGTAAAGTAACAAGTAAATACTGCAAGTACATGCAAGAGGAAAGATAAAAGAAGCAAAATGCGTGTTTCGGTCTCCATCCAGTGCAGCTGATGTTGCAGCTATCACACTCCGCTGCATAACACAGTTCCCCATCCAAGCCTACACGGCTCTCCAACACCACACCCACACAATGGAAACAAGGCACTGTGTAAAGTAAGCATTTAATGTAATACCACGCAACCACTTGTTCACGTTTTTGATGTACGTGTGTCTCTTTCCCTGCAACAGGCTCAACAACCCCATCGTCAGCAATGTCACCTAAAGAAGCTACTTACACTGGACAATACAAAGGACTCTATCATACTAAGATGCTATAGGATAGGTACAGGAACATCTTCATCATCAATGTATATTGATTTGCTTATATGGGACTGAAATGGATTCGATCTGCTGGACTTGATGTTTCGTGGTGATCGTGTAATCGTTGTAGGACCGTAGCTCAGTCAAATCAACTCGTACTGTAAGAAGACAACCGAATCATGGTAATAAGCGTCTGCAGCAGGAGCATTGTTCACATGTCATAGAATGAAAACCAGTGCAGATTGTGAAGAAATGGCTGTTAGCTGCCAATTAGAAGCTGCTGCTGGATAGTGTATATAGTATCATACATTGGCCATTCCAATCATGCAAAAGAGCTGCGTTACACAAAGAAATCCTCCTGCATCTTCCGCTGTATCAGGATCAAAGCTACTTCACAATGAACAAGACACCCTTCATATAGCATCACGCATACAACATAGTAAAAACATAAAGGTGCCTGTATCCCCGAACTTTACAATGAAACGTGGGGTTTTTATTATAGCAATGTGCTCGGCTTCGTCAACTGTACCTTGGGTGCAAGTTTCACGATCAAGCTTGCCAATCCCAGATTTCGCAATGTCGCCACCAGCCAAACTGGATCTGGGGGTCGACTTCCTCGACGACGACGACCAAAAAATATTTTTTTGGGCTAGTTGCGACATTGAACGTGAAACTTTCACACAAGGTGCAGTTGGCCAAGCCGAGCACGTTGCTCTATTCAAAACCCGACGTTTCATTGTAAAGTTTGGAGATACAGCCACTTTTATGTTTGTAAGTGTGATGCTATATGACAAGTGGTCCTTGTTTAATGTAAAGTAGCTAGGCCCTGATAGAGCCGAAGATGCAGAGGGACGTGTTTGTGTAACTGGGTTAAAAAGTTTGGACTTCAGGGACCATGCATGACAGGTACGCAACCCTCACTTTGATGTCATACATTGGCAGCTAATAGCCACTTTTGTGCATTCCCAACTTTTGTGCATTCTATTGTAGGTGGACGATGCTCCTGCTCTAGACATTCATTTCCATGATTAAAGTAGGTTGATCCGAGCTGATTTGGTTGAGTTACGCTCACACAAGATTACATCGGTTGATCTACATCGAGCGTGCTTGATGTCCAGAGTGATGTAATCTCTCTTTGACCGCAGCTCAGTCAAATCAGCTCGGATCAACCTACTTTAATCATGGAAATGAATGTCTGGAGCAGGGGCATCGTTCCCATGTAGTGGATCTCGCAACAATGATGATTGGATAAAAGTGGCCGTTAGCTAGCAATACATGCCTGTTCCTAGATGATCCATAAAGTAATTATACATTGACCCTTTCATTCATGCAAACGTAGCTGTGTTACACAACACGACCCTCTGCTTCTTTTGCTCTGTCAGGTTCTAGCTACTTTACATTAAACAAAGACCACTTCTCATATAGCATCACGCTTACAAACATAAAGGTGCCTGTATCTTCAAACTTTACAATGAAACGTGGGGTTTTGAATAGAGCAACGTGCTCGGCTTGGCCAACAGCACCTTGTGTGAAAGTTTCACGTTCAATGTCGCAACTAGCCCAAAAAAATATTTTTTTGGTCGTCGTCGTCGAAGAGGTCGACCCCCAGATCCAGTTTGGCTGGTGGCGACATTGCGAAATCTGGGAATGGCCACGATGAACTTCATACTTTGACACAAGATCGCTTTGGCTCAGCCGAGCAGCTTGTTCTCTTAAAGACCCCACACTTCATTGTAAAGGTTTGAGATACAGGCGTCTTTATGTTTTTACTATGTTGTAAGCGTGATGCTATATGAAAAGTGGTCATTGTTCATTGTGAAGTAGCTTGACCCTGATACAGCCGGAGATGCAGAGGGACTTCTTTGTGTAACACAGCTACTTTGCATGACTGGAAGGATTGATGGATTATACTTTATGGTCTATCCATAATAGTCCATATGGCGCGCGCTATCAGCCAATTCCTCACTATCAGCATTGTTGCAAAATCCACTGCATGGGAACGATTCTCCTGCTCCAGCCGAGCATTTCCATCATTCAAGTTTCTTGATCCGAGCCGATTTGGATGAGCTACGCTGGAACAGCAAACATGAAAATTAATGAATCGCAGGGTCTGCGAATGTCTCCGTCTTTCAAACTTTTGGACGCTCGCATTCTAAGCTTTCAAATGAAACATGAAGTTTTTATTGGAAAAAGTTGATCAGCATCCTCGAGAGCACCATGCTGACCTATTTTCAAGTTGGAGGTGGGCAACTTCGGGGCGGTGGACCGTCCGCTCTTTATTTCCCTTTATCCACCATTTGGACACCCCCGCATTCTAAATCTTCACAATGAAGCCTGCGACTTTTAAATGAATGAAGTTGAACAGCATGTCCCAGCGAACCTTCTGACCCAGTTTCACGTTCGAGATGGCGAATCCCAAGGTAATACGTACTATTTCGATAAATCATGAATCTGGCGCTGACCTGCTTTCCGACCTCCATCTTCCAGCAAAGAAAAAATTGCTTCCCATTGTAGAGCAGCGCAATGCGTTGCAAGGCATTGCTGAGTTACCTATTTTCAGTGCAAGGCATTGCAAGGCACTGATGAGCTACCTATTTTCAATGCAAGGTGTTGCTAGGCACTGATGAGCTACCTGTATACATTGCAAGGCGTTGCAAGGCACTGATGAGCTACCTGTATACATTGCAAGGCGTTGCTAGGCATTGCTACCTGTATACATTGCAAGGCGTTGCTAGGCATTGCTGAGTTACCTATTTTTATTGAAAAACATTGGTTCATCCTTATAAAATCTCGTACATCGAATGAGACTATATGGTGGGTTTTTTATTCATTCTCGTCTGATGACACGTATTCTCCATCTTTGATTGCTGCTTGATATAGTAACTTTGATTCTGGAGCGCCATCATTGCCTTGATCAGATAAATTGTCGATGATGCTACTTTGAACTTGATGGACAGCTTGCCAATCAATACATTCATCACCATTTCCTTTTCCTTGCATGGTACGCTTGTACAGCCATAGCCAATAACCATCTTGCCGTCTGAAAGTATCGTTCATCCTGGGATCTGGCACTTTGAAGGGATACGCTGATACCATAGCATACAAAGTCTATTATTATCCAGTTTTAAAGATACAACATCCATATAAAAGGTAAATGGCACGTACCAAACAATAAGTCAAAGTGATTGTATTCCTTGATACAACGTCGTTCTTTGCTTTTAACCTACATGGGCCCGCCTTTGTATTGTGGAAGACGATATGTATAAGCCTACCAAGCACCTCATTCTGTAGCAAACCACCATCTGCTCGATGCCCTGCTCTTGCAAACCTAGCTCCATCAACTAGGTAACGATATTGTTTTTTTGAACGCATCTTGCATGGTGGTGGTAGATTTTCGGGATCGAACTCAAATGCTAGCAACGCCCTTTTCATACTTGTTTGTAAAGAGCTGCGAGTGCTGGAGACCGTATTCATAAACTAATGTAATCAATAAGAAACAGCTGCTGTTTTCAATCTTTGACAACACTTACGATCTTTGAAGTTTCTTTGGAAACAATAACGCGTCGTTTGTCATCATCATCCCACCCTTTGATCTTCCTGCATAGTTTTACACATTCCAATTCACACTCTTCGTTCGTTGGGAACGCGTTTTCAAGGTATATGAATTGTCGGACACCCTCTTTCAGCTTGTTGGTATCACTTTCTTTCTCTGCAACGCAAAAATAAAATCGGCTGTCATCGATGTGTTTGACCTGTAGTTGTTGCAAAGGCTGTTGTTGTTGGTGGTGGTGGTGGTGTTGATGCTCAGCCTCGTCATGAGAACTGTATAATTATAGTTAGCGCGACGAATGCGAAAGGATGAACTTGCGTATAGCAAATCCATATCCCCAATGTAATTACCTCCCGTTTTCTACTTCGCTGGCATCACTGGTGCTGCTGGTGCCTTCCTCTGGTGTGGATGTGCGTCCTTGCGAAGGTGGTGGTGTTGCTAGTAAAGGAGGAGCGTTTTCGGTATCGTCGTTTTCACAGGGTTGATTGTTCTTGTCTGCGAGAGCCAAGCGTTTGGCGGAGGTTCGTGTATCTTGTGGGCTTCGTTTGTTCGTCTTTGTAACATTCAAAGCTGGCTCAACACGACAAATGAGCAAGTAATTCAGTCCCCTCTTTTATTAATTTCACCTTTTTGTCGTTTACTTGACATTCTTTCAATGTATGTGAATGTTGTGGGAAGAAAGGGAAAGATCAACGGGTGTTACCCGAGATGATATTTGACATAAGTATTTGGCACGGATTGATCCTTTCTTTTCCTCTACATTTCTTTCTTCAGCCAAACATCCTCCTATCGACAACATTCAGCCGTTTTCCATGAACAAAGGTAGTGATCAACGCATATTACATGAGGTTACCATTACAAGGAGATACTCAAAGCCACGTAGACTCACGACACAAACGCCAGCGGCTATCGACCTACCAGGATAAAAGAAGCAAAGGCCACATACAATCACCAAGGGGCACGTTATCACCGTTGGAACAAAAAGCAGCTTCAGTGGCCTTTGATTTGAATCTATCCGGTGCAGAGTATGAAAGGTGAGAACAAATTTTCCCATCATGTATACTACACTTGTTTATTGGGTTGTGTACATGATTCAGGGTTGCAGAGCTAGTTGAAACCGCCTTCAACGAAGGAAAAGAATC